TACGGTCAGTCGGTTAATATACGTTAGAGCTTGAATATAACATCAGTCAAGTCACGGAAAGTATGTTGTAATATGTTACACATGTAGTTCAAGTCGTTGAATATACGTTGCAATTTGAAATGTACGCTGACGGGTCGAGTACGTCAAACACGTTTTCCCCCGTACATGTCCCAAATATCCCCATACTCACGGGGTTTTTTTCTTCTTACTTCGAACTTGCATTCATGTAGTGACCTTGTACTTGCTTGTAATGTGTTTTCAATTAAGCAATATTTATTTCAATGTGTTTATTGAGACTGTACAAAAGGCAAAACATCGTTACTTAACGACAGTAAAAAATGTGTATTGAAATAAAACGGTGATTTTCTTTATATGAGAAATCGTTGTCCATGGTGGTAATGAAGTGTCTATGCGAACAGATTGCAAAAAATGTGAAAACTGTAGTCGATACAGTCTGTTAACTATGGCCTATTTTTGCAAAAATGTCTGGCAGGATAGCATGCACAGATGCTGGCTACTGGAGTGCATTGAATCATGACCGTTTTTCACCGACTTAACCTGATAGCATGAAACTCCCCTGACCGGAAAAGGGTTAAAAAGCAAATAATCAGAGTAAAAATAAATAATGTTCGTGCCAGTGATGGCCTTTCGTAAGCGAGACAGTGGTGTTGTCAGTTTCTCTGGAAACTGTAACTGTGCTTGTATTCGCAGCATGTCGATGATTTTTCCGGGGAGCTTTTGTAGAACACCCCAGGTTGGTCCTCCAACCACGTCGTAACTTTAGAAAACAAGGTTGCATCATCTGGGAAATGCTTTCCTTTTAAAAACAACTTATTGGCTGGGAAGAGATGAAAGTCAGAGGATGCAATTGTTGATGCACTAATTCCGGTTGGCGATTGCACTGCTACATCTACATAGAGCTTGACACTGTATGTTATCTGACAAAGGGCGAGTTGCAGCTACGTCACAGCAAAGCCGTCAATATGTTTCAATATTCGCACGATTCCAACACAACAGAGTGTACGCAAATACAACAACACGAATAATACTAAGAAACTTCAATCTTTAATACATGCTATTTGCAGGCTTCAACTTGACAACTCACAACTTCATAAACCCTGCCATTGTTCTGTATTGTTTTTTAAAATAATCATACAAGTCCAAGGGCCTAAAGATCACCAATCGCCAACATGCCTAAAGATCATCAATCGCCAACATGCCGTCTGTTTTCCTTTGCTCTTTCCTAAATCTGACATGTTTGTTCACCCTGTGTTACCTCCACTCAGAAATGAAATGAACTGTGGTGGCGCCCTATCGACCTGCCAACTCGTAGGCAAATTTGGTGTCTACAGCAAGGTCAGGAGAGTAAGGGGGGATAGGGGAGGATTTCATAGCCACACCCCGTGCTTCTGATCTGGCGACATGAGAGTTGTGGACTGGAGCGATGTCCGGCAGGAGGAAGAGAGGGATACCTTTGCTGATCTTGCCCCGCCTCTTGATTTTAATAGCTTCTCCTAATTTCATCAAAAGTGAAGAGTAATATGCTCCTGTAATTGTGGTACCCTTTGCCAAGAAATCTGTCATCACTACTCAGTCCTGGTCCCAGAAGACTGTGAGCATGACCTTGCCAGCGGAGGGCTGCACCCTTGCCTTTTTTGGAGGTGGTGAGTCCAAGTGCTTCCACTGCATTGACAGGGCTTTCGTCTCTGGATCATAGTGATAGACCCAAGTTTCATCATGTGAAATCAGTCTTTTGAAAAACTTTGACTCATCTTCTTGGCACATCTCCAAATTCATCCTCGAGCACTTGACGCGTTCTTGCTTCTAGAAAGGTGTGAGCAACCTGGGAATATATCTGGCAGACACCATGAATGATATTTTCCACAGACACTGTACTAATCTTGACCTCTTGGGCTATTTGGTGAACAGTAATGCATCGATCTTTCAAAATGGCTGCCTCAACTTGACAGACAGATCATCATCAGTGGCAGAAGAGGGATGACCAGGTCTGGGAGCTGTTTCCACAGACTTCCTGCCATGTTTGAATTCACGATGCCAGCGTTTTACAAGGTCATATGATGGGGCATCATCACCATAAGTTTCTTTAATTTCATCAAAAGTATTTTCAAATGCAAAACCGGATTATTGCGCGACACTCAACTGGCTTCATTTCACACCCGACCCAGTTCAAACACCTGTAAATCAGAAACCACAATTAGTTCAGAGCTGTTTTTTGCAGCATAACCCATAGAGATGTGAATCATTACACATGCACAATTTCATCTAGATCAGACAACTGGAAGTGGGTCCAGGGGCATTGCTTATTGAACGCCCCTCGTAAATTTGAGTTTGCTAACTCGGTTTTGGTGAACAACACATCCATCTTCTTCAATACAAGTGACTGTGCTCCTTTGCACTGAGCTATATATGTGTCATAGTCCTTTTTTTCATTGTGACTCTACTGTCTGCTTTTCTCAGGGTGATGTCCTCACCAACAACAGCTGCATACACTGGCGGAATACATATGTTTTTGCTCAGTGATGCTGCCATTGATGGTAGAGATCCTGGTGTCGGGATATTAGTAGTTGGGTGCTGTTGTATTGGCGTCTTGGTCTGGTGTCGTACTGGGGTTGACATACTGGTTTGTGGTTGCTGGTGATGTTCCTGCACTGTAGGTGGTTGTTGCTGATGCTGTTGTTGTGGGGTGTGTGCTGCAATGTCATCTGTTTCCGTATTTGATATTAGTGTCGCACTGCAAGTTGTTCTTTGATATTGAGGATGTCCACTTTCATTTCTTCTTGATTTGCTAATAGTCTTGACAGCATTGCGATGGTTGTCTTGTGTGATGATTCTGGTGCTGCTGGTAGAGTTTTCAAAATACTTTCATCAAGTTTTGGTAGCTTCGATGGTGGAGTGATAGGGAGGTCAGATATGTGGGACGGTTTTGTGTGGTCTGCAGTGGTCGCGCTAACGGCAGTTGACTCTTCCTCTTCCTCGTCAACATCCTATTCCCAGTCAGTTTCTACATTGTGAGCTCCTGTAATTCAAGCAGATATATAATAAAAAAAAAACATTAAAATAAAAATAAACACTACACGTTTTGCAGAGAGGCGATTTCTTTTGCTGTATAAATACCAGGTGAAATAAAAAAATATTACCGGGGGTAAATTGTATTACTTGTAAATTAAATTTCCTAGAGTAAAGACACGTTTCTGTTGGGTAGAAACTACAAACGTATAATATACTTGAAATAAAATTACACACTTACCAGGCAACTTTATAATCTTTTCTTTGTACGTTGAACTCTTTACTCTAATACTTCACTTGTACGTTATCACCGACACTAAAATCATTTGTCTTGATCCTTGAAGCAACGACATACTCTAGTTTCCATAAATCTTTTGCTGGCCATTCTATATATACTGTTTTTGCCATGTTATGAAACTGGGTAGAAATACTTGGAAAATTAAAGTCAGGAGCAAGTGGAAATCGATGTGGTGTCCAGTGATTCTGAAGACGAGTGGTTTGTCATTCAATGTTACCTCTATTTATACCCATTTCACATATTTTTAGAAATAAATGATGATGCTTTACTACATCAATTGAGTGTTAACGACGGCACTTACATTGTAACTTGTACTTTAAATGCAAAACCAACAACCCCATGTGGCCAGACACTTTTAAGTCGTTCACAAGAAAACAATACGTGTGAAACTTAGGATTCATTCATAAAAAAATACAGGTCTGTTTTTCCTCTCAAAGCGCATTTTCAATGACACAGTCAGTCTGGCACAAAGTCATCGATAATACTTGCAGAATAAATGTACCCACACAAACTATGTTCAAATCCAATGCTCTCGCTGGGTGTGACAGCATTTTACGCACTTGAATTTTATTTGGACAAGCATGCGTTGCGTGTGTTATTGTCAACAAAGTATCAAAACAGATTTTTGAACCACCCATGCCCGAATTTAAATACAGGTCAGCTCGGCCAAGCGAGTCATGATGACGCCTAGTATCATTGATTACATGCTACAGGTTCAAGGATAAGCTATGATGTAGGACTGTTGCTGTATAATAGCCAATATTTCCCAAAAGTATCGAGGCTAGTTCGATAGCAATTAAGCGATTGACATGTTCATATTCATCGCAATGAACCCAGTCTTTTTCAAGCAATCTTTCAGTTTATGCAATCAACGTTCAAAGGCTTTCACAATATCATAACTTGTGAATATGTGAATAGAAACACACTTATGTTGAAAACACACATGCAAAGAATTGCAGAAGGACTTTATTTAACTTATTTATTTAATTTGTATTTTGAGTATTCTTCACAGTTCAGATTTATATCTAAAACTGTTGACAAGTGGTGTGGTGTTTTGTATGTTAACCAGTCACGATACTGTTCAGTGTATAAAACACCTTGCTCATCATTTGACCTTGATTTCCTTTATTTTACAGGATTGTCGTCTACCTTGCGTTAACACTGTGTGTGTACCAGAAGGTGTTGACTGGAAAGCAGTCACTGTGTATGTAATGAGCAAGTAAGTGAGAAAGAGATTCTTTGCATATCATTATGTCATAATAGCAGTCCCAAAACAAAGACATAATAAACACCTTATGAGATCTCCTATTAGTATCTGATTTTTGTAGTTTCTCTCACAAAGAAGATGAAACTTGTCTTTATTTATTCAATGTGATTCAGTGAAACCCATCTTGACTACATTTCAAACTCTCTGGGGGAGATTTCTTCGACACCCCCCCCCCCATTTTTTTACAGTGAAGAGAATTCTGTTGGGAAGCAGACATTTTCCAGTTTATACTATACCACATTTCAATTATTAATTCCTATTAATTATAAAGTATATAATCTACCGGTATGTCACTAGCCTGAAAGGTTGTCTAGCACTAGATATCTGAGTATCTGCCTTCTTTCAATACGGTCAGATTACATGTTTTAAAGACTGAACAATCATGACAACATATTTCTGAGGAAAACCATAATATTAGAAAATGTAGGG